GAGATCACCGATAACTTTCCCGAGGCCGACTTGAAGCCTGGTTTTGTCCCCCTTTGCCCCTGGTACCGCCACCTGCCAGGGACCGCGCGGCGCCGTCCAGCCAGGGTGGCTAAGCTGCCCTCCGCGGGGTGGAGGGGTGAAGGTGTGTACCCTGGGGCTGAGGGGCTTCCCCTGCCTGACGCCCTTCATCGCCGGGGGGGGCGGGGGGTGGCACTGCCCCTTCGACAGCAGAGCCGTGCGGCAGTGGTCTCCCCCACCCAGCAGTCGCATAGTTCGCTTGCGAGTGGTAGGGAGAAGACCATTGTGGGAAAATGTACTTTGTCTTTTATGAGCGGCCAAAGTCGTCCCTCTCTCACCAGTGATCTGTCCCCCGTTCTCTCAGCTGGGGAACACTGTATCTTATTTTCATCAACAGTAATAGAAACAAAGAAGATTCCTTGTTTCTTCAGCTCTTTTTTCTTCTTTTTTTTTCTTTCCCCCTCACGGCTCTGAGCTGTAAAGAAGAAACACCCACGTATGTTCTTCCTCACTTACATGGATCTGAAGACTTTACATCTCCAGCTCAATTTCATGTCCTGGAATGGATATTTATGTACAAATCATCACAGTATGGATTTTATTAGAAGACGCAACAAAATGCAGGACGTTGAGCACCGAGAGCTTAAAAATTTATACCTCAAAGCATTTGCAGCAGGGATGTGTGGGGGATATTGAAGTGCTGTGCCCCTTAAACCTCAGTGGCAAGGCTGTGCTTGGTGGACACTCTGCTCTGACTCCTTGTTCCTTCTCACTGTAGGAAGTTGCTGTAAAGTTGGAGTCTCAGAAGGCTAGACATCCCCAGCTGCTGTATGAAAGCAAACTATACAAGATTCTGCAGGGAGGAGTTGGCATCCCACATATACGGTAGGAATCACTAATGTATGCCAGTACAGTGACTTTAATGTTAGTGTGAGGCAGGACACCACCATTATAAAGAGATTTATCTGGAAGGGTTTGGGCTGTTTGGGGGGAAAAGCTCCATTCCAAGCTCTACAACTAGTTGGGTATCCTCCCCACTGGCCCACTGTCTCTTCTTATCTGTACATACTGTGCTTTGAAAATGAGATCTTCAGCAGTTCTGAACTGTGAGAAATTCTTGTTGTGATTAGAACAAAGTGTGAGACAGTTTTAGTGAGAGCCAGTGTTCTTGATGAGGTTGAGAGTTTCGAGCCGGTACTGGAAATGGCTGCTTTCTTTTGTTGCCTTTTTTTTTTTGTTCCAACATGTCTTCCTCCTCCGCTCAGAAAATGGCGGATGGACGTGATTAACCCTCCCCCTTCTTGTGTTGGGACAAGGGACGTGCTCAGGCATGTATCTTTTCCTTTCATAGTTATGTGCTGCAAGGCTTGAGACTGCAGAGAACCTCAACCAGGAATGAAATGGCAGCTCCTTTCTGTTACCCGCAACAGATGCGTCACTAGGATTTCCGTACAGTTAAAGTGCCAAGATTAATCCCTCCCAACTGCTCGTTATGCAGCTTCCTTGTTTCATAGTCTGTCTGAAACTTTCAACTATTTAATAATTTCCTAATGTGGAAGAAAATCACTGGTGCAGCAAACTCTAGGAGGAGTTATTTCTCTTGAGATTATTGAGGTGTTACACTGGGTTAGTTCCCAACTACTGAATTGATGCATCAGAGTAGATTAAATGAAACTTCAGTTTTCTCCAGAAAGACGTTGCACAAGAAGTTGTTCTTTTTTTTTTAAACTTTGTTAATAATTGTTTTTAAAGTTAGTATTTCTTATGTTTGCACTAGGACAGAAAAGAATTTTGTTCCTTGAGCTGCAGAAACTATTTCAATTTAGATATTGGGTCAAACTGGATTCCATTTAATCTGTTAACCCTTCCCTGTCTTTGTTGTATGTTCACCTATATCAATAGTGGCCTCTGCGGTCTATTGTAAGGTCATAATGATGACATATTCATGTATTAATTTTAACAAAACCTAAACCAAGTCTGCATTTCTGAGGTTAATAGCTCCCCTCCCCCCCTTCCCCTGCCAAACACAACTGGCTGTAGTCCTGAATGTAAGCTGAATCTGTATACCAGAGGAGACAGTGTTGTCTTGGCCATCTGTCCTCATTCACTACCGCCTTTTGCAAGAGTAGAATAAACATATCTGAATTAAACTGAATACTTGCAGCTTAAACAGAGTTGCTTATGTGAAAACAGATTTAGTCTTTATTTTAGACTACGGTTTCTTTTTCTTCAAATGGATGCCTTTATTTCACAACTGAAAGAATAGAAATTGCATTTTGGAAAGCTATCACGGTATAGTTATGTGCTAAAACAGAAATAACTGGGAAAATAGCCAAAGCAAGTGGGTATCAGGTGTTTGATCGCAAAACTGGAGAAGCAGGCATTCTTAAACTTTTTCAAAAAAAGTAAATGAACGTTTGGTGCTATAATAAGGCCAAAGTTGCAAATTTTTCAGCTTTTCCATGTAACAGAAGTGAACTACTGTTTTAAGTCCTTGGGTTCGGTTAAAAGTGCCCCGTGAGAGCATTTTAATTAAAACCAAAATACTGGAAGTAATCTTACATGTTAAGAAACTTGCTTCTAGCTTCAATTACAGTAGTCATCTTTAAGTTTTCTCTCCTCTGTATTTGACATTCTTGTGTCTGACTTTTTCTGTATAGCCAGTGACTGTGGTTTAGAAGTCTCACCACCACAGGGGAACTACAGCCTTTCTTTAACACATACTTCCTTCCTCCTCCCACCAAAATAATACAGGATTTCAAGAATCTGAATAAGAGTGGACAACTGAGACAATACTCAAAACAACTCAGATTTATAGATTCATTGTGCTAAAGGTGTGTGGTCTATTTGATATCAATGAGTCTTAAAGTTTTTTTCACTTTCAGGTTCTCACAGTGTTAATCTTTGTAGTATTCTTCTAGAAAAGTGTCTTTCAGAAAATATTTGGAAATACCTTTTTTGTCTTCAGAAGCAGCGCTAATTTTAAATCTATTTGTATGTACCAGATGCTGCTTGACAGGTTCTTTGACTAGGCTTCTGTTACTAGTTGTTGTCTTGCTGTATGACATCTGGTGATGCTTGAAGAAATCTAAAATGGTATTTTTATGTTTATCTTCTTTAAGAGGAAGCTGAGCAGGGTACCCAGCACGGTTTTTGTGACAAACATTAAAATGATGTGTTTAGTAGAAGTAGAATCCATGGTACTTTGAATGCAAGGGGGATGACTTGACCTACCAAATGAAACGTATCACTGAGGTGCTTAACAAGGATATGCCTTGGAATAGGCGATTACAAAGACTAAGACCGAAGTGCAATTACTGTGCATGTTGTTTCAGACAATTCAAGCTTTTCTGACGTGCGTCTTTGGCAGCAGCTAAGCTGGGAGAACGTATGACTTTGTACTTGGGTCACTTTGCATATGTAATTGATAATACACATTCCGCCATTGTTTTATAATGGTATGTTGTCAAGTTGGAATACACTGTTCTTGGCTCAGCATATTTAGAAAGATGAATCAAACTGAAGGAAGACCTTTGAAAACATTTGTTAAAATTTCTGTAATGTGACACCTTTAAACAGCAACAGCACAAACAGAGCATTTGATACAAATTTAAGGAACCATTTTAAGCTTTTCCCATTGCCATGCTGTATAAGCTGGGCTCAGCAGCATTTTTATCCCAGTGCTACACATCCGGGAAAGAGAGGCACATAATCTTGTATTCCTCATTTAAGAATGAGGGACTTTTTCTATGTTCGTCATCTACTGAAGAAATGCAGCGGCCAAGATCAGCTTACTAGAAGTTGTATTATGTGGCTTTGCCTTACTAAAGTGGTCTGCTGTGGTTCTTTGACTCACAAAGCTGAAATAATAGGTGAGGTATGGATAGCTCATTTTAGGCATCTGTTCTTAAAACTGAATTCTGCCTTTTAGATGTGTGATTGCAAACTTAGTAATGATAGGATAGTGTATCTGGAATGTCATTTAAATTATCTAGAACCAAGCAATGTTTCTATAGCTTTTAAGGCTGATTTGATGGCCTTGCAAGCTGATTGCAAGAAAGCTAATTAACAAAATCTTAGTTTTAGAGTTAAGCTTTGTAATATTGCTTCTGTGGGATCAACAGTGAGCCTTCACTTGTCGTGGAGGGTGAACAAGGGGCCTTGGTTCTCCCACTGTAACAGAACTTGGTTTTTGCACATAAAATAGCAAACATTGAGATTGGAATATCTTTATTCTCTGAATATTCTAAACCCTTTTAGACTTGCAAATCTTTGACTTCGCTGCTTATTGTTGTTTCCTGGAAGAGTAGCAAAGTTTCTGAACTTGTCTCTGGGGTTTCACAAAACTTTATATAAATGGTCTACAGATTTTTAAGCTGTGATTTGTTCTTGATGTACAAATTTTGGTTGATTATTACCTTTATTTTTCACAATAGGCTCTTGAACCAAGCTTAACATTCGAACAATCTGATCTGCCTTTAGGACACAATGCAAAGTCTGCAGTATTCTGCTGGGCTTATTGTTCTCAGCCATCAGCTGTCTTTTTTTTTTTTTTTTTTTCCCCTCTTGTTTTCAGTGGCCAAGCATTTTTAGCTGTAATCTTGTTAACTGGGCACTGATCCTATTAGTTTGGACTATCTACCTTTATTCCCAAATTCTTGGTTCTGGCTTGGAGGAATGTAGCAGAGTGTTTGGTGATTTTGTATGTTGTTTTGTTCATAGTGTAACTCTTGTTAAAGCATTCTTGACAAAGCAATTGTTTGAATTATCTGTGACAACCACTCTAGATTTTTGTCATTTATAGTGTTTATCAGCTATTGTTCATATCCTTTACAAAGATTACCTTTAGTTACTCTTTCAGATGTACTTTTGAAAGAAAAGTGGGCTTCAGATTTTTCTCGTGACAGTATCATGGGATAACTTGGTTTCATTATCATCAGTTTCAAATGGAAAACAGCTACGCTGGAACCAGGTGTGGCCATTGGTGATGTGTAAGAGCAGTGAGAGAGCCTTGTGAATGTGAAACAGATACTCTGTGTTCTTGTATGGGCAAGGCTGAAGAGATACTGTACAGCATGTGAGGCTAATCAAGGTGATACTGAAGTTTAGTCATTTGTAAGGTTAAAAACCAAAAGCTACTGGCTCAGCAATTTTTTTGCAACATTCTATTGTAAACTGAACAAGTAAATCCGTTTCTGAGTTTTTCAATGCAGTAAGTTCTTGCAAAATATTTTGGTGTTGAGAAATTCGGTATTGCCACCCATGTATCACTACGCAATCCTCTAAATAGTAAAGCATATTATAAAGTTTCTGGCAAAAAAGTAATCTATAAAAGCATCCACAATTTTTGTTCTTCTGGTTGCTTACTGCCATGTTGTTGGATAATCTATTAATAACAGACTGCTAATACTTCACTAAGTAATAATGTAATAGAAAAATGTGGTCAAGTTTGGTAATCTTAGGGTTATTCTCACAATGGATTTTTTCTTGAGCACTTCAAACTTCGATCTTCTTAAGCAGTGCTTAAAAATCTAAAAACCTCTTGAACACCTTCATTTTAAACTGTTTTCCCGCTAACTTCCTGCAGCATAAAAAAAAAAAACTAAAAAAAAACCCCACCAAACCCACAAACAACCCCCCCAAGAAAAATTAGATTTAAAAAAAAAATAAACCCAAAACTAGTAGTCAGATAAAGTCTGAAAAGTTTTCTATCTTTTGATTGGTAAGACATACTTTCATCTAGGTCTTGCAAGTAATGAGGAAGAAGGCTCTAGCAACAGAGCCTCCTATTTAATTAACCTTCTGTTATTACTTAGGGCTGTATAGTGAAGGGCAGAACCACTCTAGTAGATAAGAGGAAGCTTCTTGTTCTGGTAGCTCCAAGT